TTTGCAGAGAGGCCCCTCGAGATGCGGCAGCCCTCGGACTCGCCCTGAGCCCGCTGCGGAGTGACCTTGCAAAGCACCCCCGTGCCCTTCGCTGGGTGGGGGGCATTGCTGTCGCCCCACGGGACGGACGCACCCTGGGCCTGGGTGCAATCGTTTGCGTTCACGGGAGGGTGGGTGAGGTGGTGGTGAACGATGCAGAACAGGATGTGTGGAGGAGCGTCTGTCTGTCTCGGTGCTCAGCCTCGAGTGCTCCTTCCTTTCTGAAAGCACTTCGGTGGCTGCACTTAAACCACCCGTGTTTCCTGTCCCAGGCCAGCGCAAGCTGTGGGTGCCCGGGGCCTCGCTGCAGCTGGCATCGTCCTAGGCAGCGTGGGGTGCTCGGGGGTTCCCCGTCCTCGGTGAGGCCCCGAGCTGCCCTGCACGGGATACGGGACTGGGGGGTATGCGCCGTGCCTGGCTAGGGAGGCAGGGAGCGTGGGGCAGGCAGCTGTGTGTCCATCGCATGCAAACTGCCCTCCACCTCCGCGTGCTCAGCCAGCTTTGGCCACCGAGGGTGGGAGGACAGCAGCAGCACCCTTAGCTTTTGAGAAATCCAGGCTTTTCGCTGGCACCCTCTGTTTCTAGCTGGGATGCGAGGTAAATGCAGCATCCCGCCTGTCCTTGGTTTTTCCTTTCCCTCTTCAGGGTCGGGACCTGCTGCCATGTGTCGGGCGCGGGGCCCCTGCCCTGCTGCAAACTCTTGTCTCTGCAGGGGACCTCTCCCACCCAGCTTCCGTCACTGCCACCTTAGCCAGTGCTGGGCTGGCTGGGGTGGTTCATAGCTTGGCACCCACACCCGACGCTGGGAGTGGTGCCGGGGTTTGTGGCTTATCTCCTGTCTCACCTTCGCCAGGAGGCTGAGTAACCGGGGGTTAAGTCAGGGGCGCGTCCCCCCCACCCTGCGTCCCCGCAGTCTGGTCCTCCCGGTGCTGCGCGTTTGCAGGAAGCTGCAGAGTTTGGCCCTGCTGCTTGGAGGCAGCCGAAGGAGGCTGAATACAAGGCAGCGAAGCCTTCAGGGACGTGTTTTGTCTGCTCTCCTCTCCGAGAGCGCTATCATTCCCCAGGGCCGTGGGCACCTTGGGAAGGCTGTAGTTTGTTGCCTCCCGCTGAAAGCGCGACCTTCCTCAAACACGAGAGCAGCAGATCCTGGGTTGCCAGCTCTGTGTCTGGATGTTAGATCCTATGGTGCAATTTCAGGCTTAGAAATAACCACTTGACTTCTAGTTTGGTCCCAAACTTCTCTCTCTATTTAGGACCCTCCTTCCCACCCCCCAGCACGTAAGGGAAGAGGCTGGTGGCCTCCTTGGCAATCTCAGGGGAGAGCAGAGACCTCTCCCTGGTGAAGCTTCACCCACGCAATGGGCTGTTGGTGACCGATTTAGCAAGTCACAGCACATCACCGGGATCCCTGCAGCTGTGCGTGGGCTTAGCTAGCGGCAAATCCCATCTTAGCCTCTGTGGGTAGGTGATGATTAGGACAGGGTAAGGTTATTGCTGTGCGTGGGGCAGCACCGAGCCCTCCCCTGCACCTGGCTGGGGCTGATGCCTAGGATCCCCTTGGTTATGGTGTGGGCCTGGGCACTCACGATTAAACTGAGGAGCTGATGGATCTTAAAGGGTCGCTACCATTTGCTGTGGCTCGTGGAAAAAGTTTTGTGGGGTTGTCATTGTCTCTGCCCCGTCTCCTTCCCCCAGCGCCTCACGAGAGCTGTGGCAGCACCGTGAGCTCCCAGCCGCTCGGGCACGGGGGCCCAGGCAGTAGCTAAACCAACACCCTGCTTGTACCTAAACCCTCCCTCAGGGCTTGACAGGGGGGTATCCTTGTGCATCTGGGAATCCAAGAGCCTCTTTGTTGCCTCTCTAGAGCTCCCGGAGAACTGGACTGATACCCGCGAGACGCTGCTGGAGGGGATGCTCTTCAGCCTCAAGTACATGGGCATGACGCTGGTGGAGCAGCCCAAGGGAGAGGAGCTCTCCGCGGCCGCCGTCAAAAGGATCGTCGCCACTGTGAGTGTCCGTGCTGGAGCAGAGCCCTGTCTCCTGCTGTTCAAACAAGTCTGTCACCAGGGAGTTTCAAAAGCCGCAGGTCTGGAGGCAGTACCGTCTGTCTGCAGGCTGGGGGGTGTCAGGATTGCAGGTCCAGCCCTTCCAGGGATGAGCAGGCGTCTGGCGGTGAAGGTGGAAATGCAGACAGTGGCACTGGCGAGCCCTCAGGACCAGCCCCAGCCCGTGGATGGGGCAGGCTGCGGAGAGCTGGTGTTACGTGTCTGAGCTCTGGCTCCCCTTGATAAGCTTTGGGTGACCCTGGGTGTGGAAGAAGCCTCTGACCTGGTGAAATCAGCCTTTCCCGGGGTCACCTCTCCTCTTGCAAGGCAGGGACAGTGTTTTGAGCGCGGCCAGCGCATGACCAAGAGCTGGCATGCAGTCCTGGGTTTTCCTTCCCGGGATTTGGAGGGTTAAGAGGAGAAGGGAGCAGGACAGCTTGCTCCGATTCCCAGCCAATACAGCCGCTGTCCTGCTGTAACCTCTGATGCAAGAGGGACCGGTTTCCAGCCATCCTCTAGCACCAAGCCTCCCTGGAGCCCCTGCTCGCTGGGCTCCGAGTAAAATTAACGCTTCTTTAAGCCCTTATAAAACTGAATGAGGCAAAGACCCAATTGTACATTTAACTGTCATAAAACTCAATAGGGTGGCGAACTGTGCTGGGTAATGACGGATCCTTTCCTGGCATGTGCAGAGCTGGAAGGGAGGAGAGCACTCGCATGAAACGGGAGCCGCTGGCAGAGCCCTTCACGACTGCTCTGATCGACCGAGAACAGAGCCTTTAAATAAAAGCCCAGGGCTGAGGCCAGCCTCGGAGGGGCAGGACTGACCGCCGGCTGGTCTGGATGTGGCTCAAGTGAGGTCCCCAGGGAGCAGGGCTGAGGTCTGCAACTAGCTAGCTGTGTATTTTTTTTTTGTTGTTTTCTGAGTTTGGTTTTTTTTGGAGAGAGAAGCTGGGCAGCGAGCTGAATGTAACCCGAAGGCTGAAAGCACGAGACTAGTAAATAAGAGAAAGTGGCCCTTAAAAGTCTAGTTACTTTTTAAGCCGCTGTCCTGACCTTGGTGTGGGGGATGCTTTGCCACTCGAGCGGGGTTTGGCAGCACAGCTCGAAGCCGGCTGCGTGGGAGCCCACGTCCTGCAGGATCGTCTTTCTCCCTTGTTCGAGCTGGTGTCCCCCTCTGCTCCAGAGCTGGCCCTAAAGACAAACCCCCCCGGGGTTTCACCGAGCGCTCACACGGCTCGGCTAGAGCAGCCGCTGCTTCATGCTGATGGCCGTGGGGAAATCCTGGAGGGGTTTTCAACCCCACCAGTGGAGGTGCTGGGCTGGAAGTACCTCCATGGGGTGGGGGGTGCGTGTCCTTGTCTCGTTAATGCCAGCAAAAATCACTGCTTCAGGGAAGGAAGGGTTTTAATGAGTGCCTTATCACACCTGGTAGTAAATTCAGTCTCTAGTACTAACAAGTGCTATTAATGTGCCTATATAGTCCGTATCTGGAATCTCTGCTCTGCTCACGTAGCTTTGGATGTATCGGTGTTAAAAGCCTGTAACTTTCCTCTCCCTCTTTTCCTTCCAAAGGCGAAAGCGAGTGGAAAGAAACTGCAGAAAGTGACTCTGAAAGTCTCGCCCAGAGGGATCGTGTTAAACGACAGCGGAACAAACGAGCTGATCGAGAACATCTCCATATACAGGTGGGTTACGGGATGCGCTGCAGTGGGTGTGTGCTCTGAGGCTCCTTGTCTGCTCCGGTCTCCACCTGGGCTGAGCTGATGTCGCGCTGGCCATCACGTCTTGATGGAAAGCAATGGGGAGGGAAGGAGGGTGGTTGGTAAATTTAATGTCTGGTGCAATAAGTGTCCAGCCGGGGATAAGGAAAGACGTGACGAGCCTGGAGGTGTCATGTGTGCCGTCTACCGATCCACGGCCAAGTGCTTCACGGCGACGTGTGGCTTTACTGCCTCTTATTGGCACTAGAAACGCCAAAGCATCCGGGGTGACGGCAAGAGTTGAATACGGAGGATGGTCAGAGCATCTCCATGCGGGCAAGGATGCGACCGCCGGAGCCAGGGCTGCCCTCCCCTCGCTGGCTGCTCTGCACCTCTGATACATTTAAGTAGCTCTGACAAAGAGCCGGGCTGGGACAGTTGTTGAGACCCGATACCAGTGTGGGGAGGGCGGGGATGGATTATCCCATACCCGCTCCTCGGGCTTTGGCAAATATTTCTTCCAAAGAGGCTGGAGGCAGGCGCAGGCCTGGCGGAGCAGAGCTCAGCTTGGATCTGGCCCTTTCCATCTTCTCCATCCCTTCTCCCTCTACATCCCCCACACTCTGCTTCTGTCCTTCACCTGCTGCTCTGTTCCCCTTTGCTAAATGCGGGATGGGGAGCACTGGGTTGGGGCACTCTCTCTAACCAGCTACTAACCCGCTTGCTTTTCTCCAGTTCAAACTAAGCAGTCGCATACAGCCACTGGTGCTGAGCCCCAGCCCTCCCCAGGAGATAAACCCCCTGCTAAAGGGCAGAGCTGGGTGAAGCGGCCACGCCAAAATCGGGATCGCTGCGCCGGTGTAAAAGCAGGCAGAGCCGCGGGGCCGGGGTTTTTAGATGCTGCCTTAAATTCTCCCCAGATGCTTTAACAGCCGTTGATAAAGCTGTGCCCCCCGGTCAGCGCTCATGTACCAGCATCCCCTTGGTCCAGTTGGCTGAAGTCAGCGCGTCTTAAATAGGCTGTTGATGTGGGGACTGATGCTGTTCCCGGGAGATGCTGGCACTGTGGGAGCGGGGATCACGGCGAAAGCTGGGGTCTCTGTGCGTGGGGGGTCACCTCCCCACCCTGCGAGCGTGCTCCACCAGTGGCGGTCCCAGGGCTTTCCTCTTAACACCTCTACTGTCTTCTCTTCGGCTTTTCTATTCACCGGGATGATGCTGGCTCTGAGCTCTTGCCCCGGATCGTGTGCTGGGGCAGGACGGGGTGACCGTGGCTAAAACGCAGCCACCGTCACCGGACATGCCGCTGCCAGAGGCCTCTGTCGTAAAACTGGCTCGCTTCAGAGGCAGGTGTGAGATATCCTTTCCCTGGAAATCAATGGCCGTCGAATATCGAGCTGAGCGCTGGGGGTTGCTGGAAGGGCCACGTGCCTGTGCAGACGACCTTCCGCGGCTTCGTCACAATTATTAAAAGAGTGGCCACGCCGCTTTGGGAACAAAACGGGAGGAAGGAATGAACTTCCAAGCGCCTCTTTAATCCAGAGCACGGCTCAGCTCTGGAAGACAAAATATAGGCCACTGAGCCAGAGGCATCCTCACACGCAACAAGAAGCTAATGCCGTGTAAATAAATTTTGAATGTGGCTTGTTAAGTCCCAGCACCTGCTGGGAACCGGGACCTTCCTGTCCCCTCCCTGCAAACTCTTGGGGGCAGCAAGAGCAGGAGCTGAATGGGCGTCGTGGAGCCATGGGAAAACTTTTACTGAAGTGTCCCACTTTTTCCTTGGGTTTTCTCTTTCCTTAACACCTGTTTGATCTGTCGCGTGCCCAGGGAAGAGGCTTTGCTCGCTGCTAGCGCCTGCCGCCTTGCACTAAACCTCTGGGTTGCTCCGGCCTGTGCTCGCTGGCTTCAGACGAGACGCTCGGTCCTGCAGCTCCTGGTGCAGATGGACCCGCGGGAGGCAGGGGTGGTTGATGCTGAGGGACCCGCTGCCCCGCAGAAGGGAGCTGAGCCCTCGGTCACAGCCTGATCTCCCCAAACAGGTCAGCCTGTTGCTATTCCAGAGTCTTGTTCGGCATTTCGGAGTCAGCCCTGCCCTGCCCCGGGGGCTGGGAGAGACACGGCCATCCTGGGGATGCTCCACTGGGGCAGCCGAGCCTCCTTCCTCGTGTCCCATGTGCTCAGGGGTCTCGGAGCATCCCGTGCATCTGCTACCGCGGATCTCGGAGCCTGAATTTCAGCCTTTCCAACAGCTTTTCTTGGGCACCCCTGCATCAATTTCTTTCCCTGGTTTGAGCCTCAAGATTAAATTGTAGGCTGAGAACAAGTCCTCCTCTCTCCTTGCAAGCTTATCCTCTACGGAGAATCTTCCGGAGTCGCTCTTCTGAAGGCAGAGCATTTGTCAGGTGTAGTCCCAGGCTGGCACACTGCAGAGTCTTTACCTTCTCTAACCTGTCCTTTCCCACAAGGTGAAACATTTTCTCTTCTCTCCTGCCTCTGCGTGTGATGCATGTGGTTCACTCCGTGGCCGCAGGAGTTGCTCTGGGCTTCTCTTACGCTCAAGCCAGTGGCATCAACTCCTCTGCTTTGGGAAGGAGGTGCACTGAAGCCTGGTAACGCTCCCACGCTCCCTCTGCCTCCCCTGCTTGGCCCCGGAGCTGGAAGCCCTGGGGTAGGCGCTTGCTGGCAGGTCAGAGGAGGGGTTGGTTGATCTCCCTTGCACACAGTGCCCCGGACAAGACATTTCGTTCTGTCTTTCAGGATATCCTACTGCACGGCAGACAAGATCCACGATAAAGTGTTTGCCTACATTGCCCAGAACCAGCTCAATGAGAACCTGGAGTGCCATGCCTTCCTCTGTACCAAACGGAAAATGGTCAGTCCAGAGGAAGAAATGGGGATGTGGCTGTAGGAGGAGGAAGCAGAGAGGGGCTGCGCCGGTGAGATAACAGCTCTGCCCCTAGTTAGAGCGAGGGGGAGCCCTGCCCCAGCGAATGGCCACGGGAGAGCACCCACCCTCCGCCTGCCCACAGGCAGTTAATCCTGGCAATGCTGCCCAGTGCCTGGCCATCACTCTCGAGCAGGCGTAACTCCGGGCTGGATTCAGCCCATCTTGGCAGGTAAAAGCCTTTCTGCCCCAAGCTCTGAGCCAGGGGTGAGAGGACCTGGCCCTGCACCAGCACCTGAAACCCCCCTGCCGTGCTGCGGTCCCAGCTGCTGGGACTCTTCCCCGCTCAGCATCCACTTCCCTGGGCTGCTGGAGCCGGTCTGAGCGCGGCGTGCGGAGAGGCTTTGGCAGGCGGGGAGGTCTCCGGGGAGGCTGGCAGTGAGGTGCCCAGGGGCGGCCTCCTTGATGGGAAGTATTTAGCCAGTGGTTCTGGGCTCGCTGCCCTGGCTTCCTTCCATTTCTTGCCCTTGAAGCTCCTTGTCCAATTTTTCGCAGCGTCTTTGCAGACGGGGCCATGTCCTCCCTATGGGAGCAGCGCAGGAGACCCCGCTGCATGCCGAGGATGGGGCTTGGAGCAGGGACCTGTGTGTAGAAAACGGTCTCTGGCTCTTGCTTTGAACCCGCTTGTGGGATTTTTTCCCTGCTGATTCAGTGCATCAGGATGGGCAGGGACCCAGCACCAATGAGCTGGCGAGGGAGAGAAGTGGGCGCTGGCTGCAAGCTGGGCAAGGAGAGCCCTGGGGGTCTCTCCAGTGGAGCCAGGGCTGGGGCTGAGCCCCCTCCCTGTGGCAGGAAGGGCCTTTAGGGGAGAGGAAGGGCAGGTCAGATCCCTCTGTCCCCAGAAATCCTTCCCCTGGTGCCCGTTGCGGGGCCTGAGCCGAGAACAGGATCTCCCAAATCCGCAGGGAAACAAACCTCCCGAGAGCCATTCCCAGCCGGTGCATCCCGGCGTGGTGACTCCTGGGTCCTTACGAGCATCCCTGTGCTCGGAACGCGGCCACCACAGCTCTGTTAACATTCTGCGCTTCTCCTGACGTTTTTTTTCCGGGGAGAGAATAATGGAAGCTACAAGTTGTCTCTCCTTTCTGCAGCGTGCGCTCCCATCCTTGCACGGCGAAGATAAGCCTCGCTCTGCAAATTAAAATTTAAATCTCTCCAGTGCTAAAAGAATTATCTCAGTGGTACATCAGCTCAGTGTGTCTCCCTCCAAATAAAGTTCTCCACAAGGCCTTTTGTGGCAAAAACTAGGAATATTTATTTTTTTTTTTCCTTTAAAACGCATGCACGTTATGCTGGTAAGGCGATGCCCTGCTCCCAGACCAGGGACTGTCCCTGCCCCAGGGCAGGGTCCCTGAATGTGTGCACAGCTACCAGTCACGGGCATATAATTAGTCCATATTTTTAGTTCATGGGTAATTCTCAACGGTAGCTGGGTCTATTAAACTTGATTCAGATGTGACAGCTTAAATTGTAAACAGCTGTGAGGAGTTTCATACTTAATTACCATATTTAAGTTTTTGCCATAAAGCATTTGCACTTCCATCAAAGATGTAAATAGCTCCGACATTCAAATGAGCTCTCCTGCTTTGCGAGGCTTAATTGGCACCGATAGGTCTCCTTGTCCCTCCCGCACAGGAGCGCCTGGCTTTTGGGGGATGCCAGTGCTCCGTTCGTGCCCCCCCCCCGTCTCCATCCTCCGAGCAACCAGGGGGCTGCGGGTTACGGACCCGGATCTGGGTTTGTTTAGTTTGCAACTTAGTAAAACGAACTCGCGCCTCAGGGCTCCTGCAGCGCGCCAGCCTTGCAGAGTGTTACTCGTTATCTCCTTGCACTTAAACTGCTCGTGAGCTCTGCCTTCTCCTAATGAAACTGGCATTTATGTCACTATTTATACATCTCCAGCAACTCGGGCTGTTTAAGGTGGTGGGTTTTTTTAATGCTGCTCAAGCTCTTGGCTTGGTGAGGAATGGAGGGGCTGAAGGGGAAGGTGTCCCTGCTCCTGCTGCGGCCCTGGCTGTTGCAAAACAAACCCACGCTGTTGGTCTAAGCCAGAGAGACCCCAGCTTAGCTCGGGAGAACCAGGGGAAGGCCCTGGGATCTCTCTTGTCCTGCCTCTAAGATTGCTCCCCGTTGGAGAGAGCTGCAAATTTGTGGCGTTTTACCCTGTTGCTCTCGGAGCATCCTCGTGCATGCGGTCGTGCGCGGTGCTGGGGAGGGATGGACCGCAGCTCTGCGCATCCCTCCCCAGCACTGGTATGGCCTGCAGCGGCGTGGTCCCGGGCTCGGCCCGGGCGCTGATTCCCTTTGAGATGTTGGTCGTTCTGGTGGGTGATGCTAGCACAGCCGAGCCCTGGAGCGGGGAGCCACATCCCTCAGGGAGCTGCAAGGACGAGCCCGGGGCCATGCAGCACTTGCACTTGTTTAGATCGCTCTTAGGTGTGGGCTGCAGGAAGAGCTGCGCGTGCCCCACGGTCAGGAGCAGCTCTTCTCTCCCCATCCGTCAGCGCGATGGCTGTGACAGCCATGTCCCTGCCTCCTCCGTCTTCCCATTACACCTGAAGACGTATCTATAATGAGCTGCGTGTCCCACACGGAGCAAGTCTCTGCTTCCATCAATATTTGATTACCCCTCCCCAGCCAGATGGGGAGCGCAGAGCGGAGGACTGGTTGGATCCAGGTTAACATGAATCTGCAAAGCAAAACCTCCAAATGATTTAAATCTACGTGAGGACCCGTCGATTAACATGCTGCCTCACCACTGTCCTTCCAGGCGCAAGCGGTCACCCTCACCGTAGCCCAGGCCTTCAAAATCGCATTTGAGTTCTGGCAAGCGGCTAAGGAAGGTGAGTTTTTTCCTCCTCTTCCCGCTCTTCACATGAAAGTTCAAGGGATGACTTTGGGTTTTTTCCAGGTTTCGAGTGCTTTTTCCCCTTGCCCTCCAAATTTCCAGGCTGCTGTTAAGGTTGGTCCAACCTCTGGTGTGATTTAAGGCATCTTCCAGGTTGCTCTCGACAGCCTTGTAAATCCAGCCAAATTTTGGCTGCGCTCCTTTCTTGCAGGTGGGGTGTGAAGGACCTGGTGCTTGTCTGTGGTGCCCGGAGCCCTGCCGCTGTTGGCAGGGGTCTATTAAACTTGATTCAGATGTGGGGAATTTCTTTCTTTCTTTATGCTTTCACCTTCCACAAGATTATAAAATGCACCCAGAGCGTGGGCTGCTGTGGGGCAGAGGAGACCTGGTGGCCCGTCCTAGCTGTCCCTCCTCCCTAAATGCTTGCGGGGAAGCGCTCTGCGGGCAGTGACGGGGTCTCCTTCTTTTGCAGAGAAGGAGAAGCGGGAAAGGTCCATCTTGGAAGGAGAAGGGACGAGCAGCCCCAGCTCAGAAGGACCTGCCCACCCCGACGCACGTAAGTCACCACCAGCAGAGCTTTGCTTCGGGCTCGGGGACGGGGAACAGCCTGAGGTCTGCGGGGTTTTCCCTGAACGGGGCGGGCTCCTGGGAGGGCTTTGAAGACCAGTAAGGAGCAAACGCTTTTGTCGTAGCGGAGATGTTGCCCTCGGCAGAGCGCTTGGGATGCAGCGGCCGCCTGTCGAGTCCTTCCATCTCCCCCTTAAATATCTTGTGCAGCCCCTCGTACACAGCTGCTGCCACCCCAAATCTGTTTAATTCTGCCCCAGGCAAATTTGCCGTAATGTCCTTATGAGCTTAGCGTGGACCCCCCACATCCCAAGTTTGATTTTGGGTTTGTCTCGGACCCAAAACACTTGCCATCCCATTGGCTGAAGGAGATGGACATCCAGGTGCCGCTCTGCCTCCGGCTCCCCTAAGGAAGGAGAGGTGCATGAAAATAAAACAATTAAATAGTAAACCCCCTCATAATTCAGTGCCTGGCTGTGGGTCCTCTGCTGCCTCTGAAATGCAAGACATGTAGCCAGGGAGAAGTGGGACAAAAGGCTAATCTCTTCCATGCTGGCCACGGAGATAAGAGGATTTGGCACAGAGGAAAATAGCATTAAACTGGGCTTCCTTCCAGGCTGGCACGTCTCGTTTCTTCATGTGAAGGCCCAGGACTGGAGGAATCTGTCACAAATGGTGGCACATCGGGATAAGCGAGGCCCAGGGCTGCCGCGGGTGTAGGAATGGGCTCCGGCGTCTGCCTGGGGGACGCTCCGCAGCTGGGGCGCTTCTGCATCCACCCTTACTGCAGGGTGATGGGGAGGATTTGAGGCTTCCCTGAAACAACCCAGCCTGCGGTGTACCGGCAGCCCCCCAGCTACAAACTGCTCTTCACCCAATGTGGGATTTGCCCTCGGTCCTGTAAAATAATAATAATGCGTCTTTGTAAGACGCTGAATCGATGCCGTGGGCTGAGCTGAGGATACCGCCCGGGTTCTGTTCCCACCGTGGGGTTGGGATGTCCTGGTCAGCTCTGCCTGGGCCTGATCCTGACTCATCCTGAATGTAAGCGGGTACCCAGGAGCCTCCCCTGATGGCTGCTGGAGGGATGAGCCGGCCGATCCTCCCTTGCGTCCCTGTCGAGAGGGTCTCGGGTGCCTGATCTGAGCATCACAAATTACTCAGGCTGAAACCACGGCCCCCGCTGGGGTGAATGCAGCTCCTCCGTGGTAAAATTTGGGGCCGTTCTGAAGGAATTTGATGCAACCCTTTGATTCCCCTCTTGAGGGGAAGCGATTACTGCAAAAAGGCTTGGTTTTGTGTCATCTCTGTTTTCCCCTCCCCTGCCTCATTCCCTCTCCTCTCTGTTCACAGCAGCAGCCACAGGGAACTTGCTGGATTTAGAAGATCCTGCCAAATCGCCCCTGACCAGCAGCGCAAACTCCCCACACTTAGATAACAGCGTGTTTGGGCCCAGCTCCTCTGTAAATAACAACGTGGTGTGGGTAAGTGTGTGCCCGGGGAACCGCGGCATCTGCCGAGCCGGGGGGCTGCGATGCCACCTCCATTTCATGTGCTCCAGGTCCCATCATGGGGTTTTTTCTCGGATAAACCCCCCCTGGGAGCTCTGGGGCGGCTGAGCCGTTCAGGCAGGGTTTCAGAGGTGCCCGAGCGAGCTGGGTTTCAGTGTCCTACTTGAAATGATCGATTAGTGTTCGAGTACCTACTGCCCTTTTTAGGCTCTGTAAATAAATGAACGAGATTGCGAGGCACTCTGAGAAACGCCGCTGTCAGATAATTGAATATTACTTATTCTCAAGCAGCATTTCTCAGTGGTTTGTCACTTAATTGAGAGACCACCTAACTGCTCTGTTCAGGGGAAAAAATCATTATGTTGATGGCTTTTGTTTACCGTTCACTAAAACCAGGTTATATTTATGGTTGTTATTACTCTTATTTTTCCCTTGTTCTTGTTTGTGGCTGTACCTGGCTTATATAAGCGTGGATGGCTTCTCTAAAATGCCATCAGTCATCTGGCTTAATTGTTTCATGGACCACTGGTAGAAAAATAACGACCCAGCCCATGTGCCTGGGCGTGCATCTGCCAGGGAGCCTCCTCCATGCCCAAGTGCTCCATCACCAACCGAGCTGGGGCTGATCTTTGAAGCCCCTCTTGACCTGGGACCTCATCCCCGCGCCGTGCCCTCTCTGGAAACACGCTGTCTGCTAAATATTGGAGAATTGAATGATAAAGGCCTTTGCCTGGAGCCTGTTTCTTGAGTCTGCTGGGTCTGAGCCTGAGGCTTTTCAGGTTAAACCTGAAGATCAACTCTAAGTCTCATCAAATCCTGGAGGCTTATCAGGGGTCTCCGATCCCTCCCTTCTTGCAGAGTTTTCATACTTTACATATTACATTAAGTCTGTAAGTGCATCGCACGATTTTGGGAATAGTCAAGTCTGTCCTTAGCAAAGCCCTCGCACAGATCCCGTCCTCCTGCACGGGAAACCTTTCTCCCCCAGGCAACTCAAATGCTTTCCCTGGGAAACCTTAAGAGCAGACCAGAGCTAAAGGATCCCAGAGCTGCTTTCAAGCAGCGCAGGCTCCCCCTGTGCTGGTGCAGGGTTGCTTTCCAGGTTCCTGATCCAGAAAAGCCCCGAGGGTTGCCTGGAGCATCTTTTGGAGCTCTGTCTGGGTCCCTCCTCTTAGCAGGAACCTGCAGCGTGTGCCAGTCTTGGGGCAGGAGCTGGAAGAGCCGAGGGCTGTGGTTAATCCCAGAGCGGGATGTGGTCCAGCTGATGGGCCAGATCCAGCCCGTGCAGGCAGTGGGGCAGAATTAGCCTGGTCTGGAGACGGTGGGAAAGGGCCAAGCCCCTGCCCCATCCCTGGGCTGCGAGGGGAGCGTGGCATCCCCGACCCGAGCCCTGGGATCTGCTCTGAGGAAGCCTGGACCACCTGGAGTTACGCCTCTTACCCTGGGGCTTGTGCAGCGAGTGAGATAACACCTGCCCAAGGAGGCAGAGTGCCGAGAGGAGTGTTGCTTTAGGCACTCAGAAGTCAATATATATATATTTTTTGTCTGCCGTGCTCAAGCACAGAGCCGGATCTCTCAATACACTTTTGTGCATTCTCTTAGCAACTGCTTCTCTCTCTTTTTATCTCTTTAACAAAGGAAATGGATGATGGTCTCGACGAGGCATTTTCAAGGTAATTCTAATAATTCCCTTTACAAGTTCACGCCACCGCGGACCAGCCCGGGAGACTTGACTAGTGACTGGCTTTTAATAATGCTTCTAATCTAATCAGCCGCCGTGATCTGACCTAGGCAGCTGCCCCATCAGTGCCTCAGCTGTTAATTGAAAGATAGGCTTTGAGGCTGGCTGATAAGCCAAATATTTTGACAACCTTTTAAGGATGGAGAGAGGCTGTATGTGATAGGGAATTTAATTCCCCAAGCAGTTGGTGTGTCCGCTCCTGCTTGCCGGCGTGGTTTGAGGCTGCCTGTTTCCAGCCCCCGTGCTAGCTGCGGCAATGCTGGTCCCACCTTCTGGCACGGGGACTTTACCCTTCCTCGCCCCTCCGTGAGGCTTGGACTAACCCTGGGACTTGGTTCCCATCTGTCCCCAAACCACCAGCAACTGCTGAGGGCAGCCTCCCTGCTCCGCTGGTCCCTGTTGCAGCGCGGTTGCATCAGGGTGACTCTGATGCACCAATTTTGAACTCATGCACCTGAGCACGTTCAGAGTTCGTGGCCATAGCTTCATGTGGCTTAGTTCACTTTCCAAGCCAAATTAAGAGCTTCCCTGCACATGCACGCCGAGCAATCCAGCAATGTTAAACAAATCCGTTTTCTTTCAGGTGAGTTTTCCTGTCTGTCCTCGTGCAGGCAGGCCCCTGCGGGGTGGTGGGGATGCTTTAGTGTTCCCGGGTCCCGTCCTCCAGATCAGTGCATGAAGCCGCCCGGCCGCCGTTCGGGCAGCGTGAGCTGCGAAGGCGCCAATTTGGGCAAAGAGCTGCCTCGGGTGCAGATGCTACGGGCAGCAGAGAGCTGCCAGGACTCTTCCTCCAGCTGGGAGGAGCTGAAGGAGGGAGTCGGGCAGTAGCAGGGCTGAGCCCAGCGTCGTCACCTCCCCAAGAGCCGCTCGCCTCCGCTGGGGTTTGCAGCAGTGCAAAAACTGCACGCTCAGCCCTAAGGAAACAGACCTTCATGCCTTGTTTGGCTCTCAGGAATGATTTACAGCTTTCACTTCCACGGTAGCCCTGTTCCAAGTTGTGTTCGATAAAGGGGCGGCTTGAATTTATGTCTTAATGTTGTCTATTTTCCTCACCTCTGTTCCTTGCCCTACTTAATTAAGCAGATGTTGTTGGTTGCGGTCTTTTGTTTTGCATTGCTGGATGCCGAGCTGTCACATCACCCTTGGCCTTCCGGTGACTCAGTATTTGGACTGCTCATCCACCGAGGTGGATGCTTCTGAAAGCGTTCATTTTTCTTTTTTATTAAAAAACATGCGTGTGGCTAGTTTAATCTGAGGCTTATTCAACACGATGCCTCCCCTGGATGAAACACCAAATATTTGAGTTAACCTTTTGGCCCTGGGAGAATTGATGCTGCAGTGTTACATTTTCATAGAGGTATTTAGTAACACAACAACAAGCTGGGGCTCGTTAGGTTTTGTGAAACGTCTAGGATGGGCTGAAGACCCTTTAAAGCTGATCCTGTGGGCCGTTAAATATCATCTGAGTCCTGCTGCGTCTTAACCCAAAGAGTTAAATGCTTGGGCCAGGGAGTGCGGCGGGCAGCGAGCGACAGCACATGCTGCGCGTCCAGACACACCACCGTGAAAACTGAGTCATTGCAGTGAGGCTGCTCCTTTGGTCGGTGGAGCCTTTATGCTGAGATAAGATCCCAGCTATAACGATGCCCCCGCCAGCAACGGCTTGGGGGAGGAACACGGCACCGTTCTGTCAGACCATTAATATACGGGATGTCCAGACTGCAAATTCCCTGGATGCCTGTAGGGGAAATGTTAGGACAAACCAGCAGCAAAGCTACAACAAACTTGAGCGAGCTGCAAATGTTAGGTGCCAGCTCTCCCCTACTGAGTTATTTCCTTCTGTTGGAGGATTTTGAAATGTGGAACTGCAGCTAGGGTTCGGCATTACGGATGCATCAAGCATCCAGGCTATAAGCCACATGGATTTGTGTTCTTACTTTCTGTTTTTCTCCCCTCTTAGACTGGCTCAGTCGAGAACAAACCCGCATGTCCTTGACACGGGACTGACGGCTCAGGATATCCAGAGTGCCGAAACGCTCTCACCTGTAGACTGGAACAAAATAGATTCCAACACAGGCGAGAAAGATGATCTGTTCATGTTTTGAGGTCAGATGCATCTAACAGCTGACAAGAGAATAACCACTAAAAGTCTATGGACTGAATCATGCTGTTCCGGGTGCTGTACGCAAGGGACTCTTCTGAGGGCTCTTCACCAAGTCGGTTGATGTTACAGCACAGTTTAGACCAAAGCTTTAGAAATCTAATGCAGATTTTTGTACTTTGCTTTTATCTAAACCACGAGATGCTCTTCACCATATTTATTCATAGCCGTTACAGTTTACATATATTATTGGAAGGTGTGTAGAGCATCTACAATATTAGGTGGCAATATACCATGGAAGAACCTTCAGCAGTGCCTGTTCCTCTCTGAAAAAGACTATGCAACGCCAAAGTCTCTCTGTATGTACTTTTCTAGACGAAGGTCTGCAGATGCAAATGCAATTGCAAGCACAACTGTTACTAATCCACTGTTTCTTGAACAACACATCACCTGCCTAGGCGGAGGGGAGGAGATTTGCAGCAGCTGCTAACAGTGTTAAAATCAAAGAGGTAGCAGAGATCTTGCTTTTGTTGTGAATGTCTGTGATACTCTCACAGTTGTCAATCACCCCTACGTGTTCTGGCTGTTTCTTTGCCAGCTTCGTATGGGAATTGACGCTTTTTTACCCAAAGACTCTATGAAGTTTTGCACTTTAAAACTTGAACTGAAAGCAATGGTCCGAATTGTCAAGGTAAGCACTGCCTGTAACTTCTCTTCAGAAGCTGTTTACCCAAAAAAACCCCAACCCAGCAATGCTGCAGGTCTGTTTCAAAACTGACTACTCACGCGCACCGTTTCTGATGCCACTCAAAATACTAAGGCTCCGTTGCACTGTTGGCTTTAAAAGCAAAACCACCAGGGAGTAACAATTTGTTTTGCTAAAGCATGTTGAAAGTTGCGGGTTGGGTGAACCCAGTAGCACAATAGATCTGTGTTCTTAGCTCGGCTAAGTGGATTTGGCTGTGCATGCCTTTTTGCTGTCTCAAAACCATTTGGTTGTTGCTCACAGTCAATAGACTCAAATGGAATTGGATTAGGCAAGAGCAATACCTGGATGTTCAATTAGCAAGAGGTGCCCCTTCCAGCGGTACTCCGATCCTCTTCCCCCCGACACCCGCATCTCCCGTGAGGCTTGGGAAGCTGTCTTCATCTGCTCCTGGAATTGAAAATAAGTAATGGAGGTATAAAGCTTATGCTAATTAAAAGATTAAGTTTAATGATCCTAAATAGTTGCACTGACAGTTTGCAGTGTTTGTGGCCTTATGTGAAGTAAACTAATCTGTTTTATAGATTTGTAACTTGGTTTTGAAACACTAATTCATTCCCCAGATAGCTCTTTATAACTCTCTTAAAACTGCTTGCAGGAAAAAAAAAAAAAAGAAAACCCTCTTTGGCAGCTGTAAGAATTTATTAGGAAACAGCTGAGTGACTCTAACTTAGATTTGATTCCCCCCCCCAAGTGTTGTTGTGATAAGGTATCGAGGACTTGTGAAGCTGACTCATCATGTCTCTTAATAAAATGTGTGCTCTGTTTATCCTGTAAAATTGTGTTTAAAGCAATTTTACATCTTGAAACTACTGTGCCCATGACTTATTTGATCGTACGTGTAGCATCAGTCTCGCGACTGAAGGAATTATTCAAAGCTTGTCCGTGCTACAGAGGCACACGGCAGAGACATGAACCTGTTGCGTAAGCAACGCCAAAACTGCGCTGAAGTGGTTGTAGCAAGCGCCTTGTCCTGACCCCGGGGAGTGGTGATCTTCCTAGGAAAGAGCTTGGGCTGCAGGAATGGACTGTGAGGATTTCTCTGTACATTGGTATTTCTCCTTTTCTAGAGATTCTAGGAGCATATACTGAAATGCACAATACTATATATGTATGTATATAGTTTTTTAAGAAAACCTTCTGCTGTAAAGAATATCTGTACTGAGGAAAATAAAAGTTCTACCATTTTTTGGAGTGTCTGTGCTGGGTGACTTTATTTTTACTGTGGTCCTTTTAATGTGTATTTCTAACGGGTTGAGTTCTCTGCCTCCCTTGATGCGGAGCAGTAAGCGATTGGAAACATCCACGGGAGGTTGGCGTCCGTTGGAAGACTCTTTCCAGGGCCATCCAGGTGGGGAAAAGGCTGCAGTTAGACGCCAGTCCGTGGTGCTGCCTCCAAGAAGCACTTACGGGGCTGGATGTGGCCACGTGGGATGCACGGAGGGATGTGCAACGGCCGCCTTCCCTCCTGCGCCAGTCGGGGGGTGACCGTTGCAGCCTGCTTGGTAAATCCAACCTTGCCTGAGCCCCTGCGTCGCCAGATCGGCCTCCAGGTAAGAGCGTGACAGAGGATGAGAGAGGGAAGTCAGTGCTTCGGCCTCGTCTGCAGGTAAACGTGGTGTTCGTAACATCAAAAACCAAAATCTTTTAATTGACAGAGTTTCTGAGTTGCTGCGCAAAGTACTTCTCCCCTGGGGGGAGTTTAATTTGTACAGCTGCCTTTTAAATTAAAACGGCTCGAAGAGCCCGGCGCTGCCCTGTGTATTCGGCCTCTCCCTGCAATTCCTGCCTTTGCTGGCTGCGGGCTTGGAGCGGCCGGGCTCCCACAGCTACTGGCTAACCACGCTGCTAACGCTGGTCTGGGAAGCACAGGGCGAAATTCTGCTGGGGATGCTGACAAAGAGATTTAACCTGTGAGTAGCACCACGCTCCCTTCGGGGTGTCAGAGCTGGGCTGCGGGCAGAGCAAAGGGACTTCGCAGAGATGCCTCTCTTCCTGCAGTGTTAGAATAACAAAACAAATTCAATAAAAGTTCATTTTTCTGTTTAAACTGCCTGTTCCAGTGTGAGGAGATGCCCCAGATTATGAGTATTTGAGTACCGGCAGTCTGCACCTTCATGCATAACTGATGGCGGTGCCGAGGAACAAATTGATCTTGCAGTTTTGATGTGATCTTTTTTCAAGTGCCGGTTAAGAAACTTTCAGCATCCATTTCCTTCACCCCCGATGGCTGCGTGCTTGGGAGGGAGGGAGGAAGGGGCTCACCGTGGTGAGAGGCAGCTGTGCCACGAAAAGGCAGCTGCCTGCTTGGGGGGGGGGAAGCTCCAGCATCTGCCGCGAGCTGGGGAGGCCGGTGGCTCTGCTCACCCCAGACCCGTGTTTCCCCGGGGGGACGTGGAGCGACTTTGCTGCCCGTTTTCCTCCCTTCGAGGAGCCTCAGCAGCAGAAGCTGTGGCTGTGCTGTGAAATGCTGGTCTGTCACCCTGCGTTGGCGCGGGGTGTATATAGGACGTAACGACTCCATCCATCCTACGGACGGTAGCCGTAGGGCGAGGAAGCTAGCTCAGAGCCCGTCTTCAATCTTCCTCCCCAGAGCACCTGCTAAAGAAACAAAACCTGCAGCTAGTGCAAACCATATAGTTCAGAGCTAATTTCTTTTCCTTCTGGTGCTGTAACTCGCTAAACTCATTTAATGCATCCCCCAAAACTGAAACAACAAACCCAGCCTGGTTTTGCCAAGTTACAGGCTGGGTTTACATGTAGACGTTAAGTTTATCAAGCATTGCCGTTTCTTCCCTATGCAGCGAGTGCTCTCGGGTGACCGTCAGTTGTGTTACGTGAGTCGAGGCTAAACCCAGCTCTGGGGCTACAAACCAGCTGACTCAGGGAAGTGCTGAGCTGTTAAGGACGACGGCATTCAGTGCAGCAGGTACTGAGCTCTGAACTTCTCTCCTCTCTCCTCGGAGCACCGAGAGAGTTTGTAAATTCGTGCCAAGCCTGAGCGAGAGCTGTAGGGCTGTCGTTACCCAGATCGTTCTTCTTTAAAGTACAAATAAAGAGAGCAGCATTTCATCTGAACACCTGAATGCTGTATTATGTTCTTTTATAGCCAGCCCCAGCCTGCCGGGAGCTGTGGGCCGCTCTGCAAGGCCTTCTGTGCTCTGAAACAAGAAGAAATAAACAACCTCGTGGAGAAGCACAAATGCATTTTGGCTGGGGATGGAGGGGGACGTTGGTTGAGCACTGCTCTCCTCCGCTCTTACGTGTCAGCGTTGCGTGATGGCTGTCTGCAACAGCAAACTGCCAGACCCCCATGAGATTCGTCCCTGTCAAAGCCAAGGGGAGCTGAACCAGAAAAAACACCGGGCAAAGGCAATGTTTGCTGAAAGCCTCGCCGTCAGCCTTGCTGGGACCCCGGGGCAGGGGCTTGCTCAAGAGGAGCTCGCCACGGGTCAGCAAACGGCGCCGAAAGGGTATTTTGCAAGCGTGTCTCTGCCTCTGCTTTTGAACTTCTTCCAGGGTTTGCAGCGCTTAATAGCAGGAGACAACATTGCAGCGGGAGACCAGAGCAGTGATGCAGCGTTAGCAAATGGCTTTTGTCAAAGTTTCCATCGCAGGGAGCTGCAGAGCCACATGCCAACACGGCAGCCCTCGGTCTGCACGAACAACGAGGGGTGCGGGGTTATTCTGCCAAATCCCTTCTGTGTGTGAAAAAAGCTCCTTCTGAAAAAACTGTAATTTCAGTGCCAAAAATGCATAAAATTGTCAAAAAGTTCACTTTTTTATGCCTCCCTTCAGAGGAAATCCTGCTGACCGTCTCTGCTCCAGCTTTCCCTGAAACCCAGGGCCTTGATTCATCACGTCGGTGGTAGCTTGGGGTTGACGGTGCTCGTGTTGTGCCCATGCTCTGTTGCAAAATAAAATCTCCCAGAGCGGCTCCTTCTGCAGAGGCAGCACAAGCCCCAACGGACACCTGGAGCCGAGCAAGATGCAACGTGGGCTTGGGAGGATCCTGAAGCTTTCCCCATCTGCAGCATGGAGGGGACCCAGGAGCCCACACCGGCAACCGCAGGGCCAGAAGCTGATGAAATTATTGGTGCAAACAAGAAGAGAGAGAGCAGGGTCTCTGCTGCCAGCCCTTGGCTCGAAAGTCCTTTTAGAAGCAAGCCGGCATCTGACTGCGAGCAATTTATCAGGAGTGAGTGGATATTGCTTATGACAGAGGGAGTCTTAATATTGCATTACTTCATTTATTTAGCACCTCTCCTCTAATGCCCAGGGGAAGGATAATGGGAAACAGTGTTGTGGGTTGCTGGGGGTTAGTTGTTATTTTTCTTCCCTGCTAAAAGCAAACATCTCCAGCTGGTTCTTGGCTCAAAGGAGAAATACTGGCTTTTCAAAAAGAAGGGATGTCAAGTCATTAAAAGCTGCAGGAAGAGGAAGTCTTCTGAGATGGGAGTGGAAACGGGGCCAGAGAGCTGGAGCCAGAAAGCAGAGGTAGGAAGTGCAGGAAGATTGGAGGCAGTTGTGCAATGAATGTGCAGGTAGAAGGTAATCAGTGACCAAGTGCTGGTTAATTTACTGTCACCGGCCTCTCACGCTGGACACACACTTAGTCCCTTTTTCCGCTGGGCTCTGATCTTCATCAGCAGCGATCGCTTCTCGCTCCCAGCTCCGGAACAGCTCCCGGCACGGCGGCTCTCTGGGCCAGCAGAGCCAAAGGGACTCTCTGCTCTGCCCGGAAAGCAGATTAGCACTCTGCTATCAGGGCCACGCGCCACCGTCAGCCGGCGCTGGCCTGCAGCCAGGCACCTCGGAGCAGGGAGCCGGAGCCCGGGGCTCTCCATCCCGCCCAGCACCCGGCTGGCGCCGCTCACCTTTGGCAGCGCCGAGCATCTCCCTGGGCATTAACCCGCCGGAAAGCTGTCGGCCTCGGCTGTGAGCAGAGATGTGTCTTTGCAACTGAGCACTCGTTCCTTTATTCCCCGTGGCACGGTCGGGGGGGCTCTTTGGAAGCCGTCGGGAGTCGCAGGAGCCAGGTCGTGCCAGCAAACCCAGCGTGGGAGCGCCGGGAAAGCCGTGCTGGCTGTGCTCGCAGGCAGGGACCATGCCGCCTTCCAGCCCTCCTCTTCACTTTTCCTTCCAGGAGCCAGGTGTGATTATCACCAACGTCACTGTTCCTGCGTCAGGGCCGCAGGGTCTCCCCTCTCCCTGCAAAGGAAAATATCGGGAGAGGCAGGCTGTGAAACCATCAACCCAGTCAAGTTTTGGCTCTAAAATCCCTGCTGACTCCTGTGATTTATCACTCACCCAGCTGCTACTTGCAGCTTGGAAAAGGTAAGCAGGGGGGGGAATGGATTTTAAAAGCTTGGCTTTAAAGCCCACAGTCAGACCAAGACTCCTGCCCTGTCCGAGGTAACGGGGTAGGAACAACGTTACTGATTATGGGTGAAATAAAACAACCATCCACTTCAGGCTGTGGTACGAAAGGGTAATTCTGCTGCCTTCTCTTCCCTGACACACGTCTTTTGAACCATGATGCGAGAAACCAGTATTCAGATACCAAAACCCCTGCCGCCTTCCTTGTCTTTCAATTTATTCCCCAGGCACCTTGTTTGCCCCAAACTTCTGCCATCGCAGTTTCTGTTTCAGAAAGCAGAAGCAAACACGTGCCAGGGGCATCACCGAGGCGGCGTCTCCCCGGGCAGATGGGGTGATGCCCAGGGGATTCTTCTTCCCCTCCTTTCAAACCAGCTGCTCTGCAAACTTGGGTCCAGATCACTCGCTTTCTGCCCCCAAGGGCTGGTTTTTTTCCACCTTTCCAGCCATCACCATCAGTGATTTTTTCCCCAGCAAAAAACTCCAGCCTCTGTGGAAGAGTAAAACAGTCCCAGGGCCGAGTTTTCCCAACACTCTCGCTGCAAACCACAGCGGCAGTTTCTGTCTCGGCTGTTAATAATCCCATGGATGGTAACGCCACTCCAGGCAAAGGTTTTGCTTAAAAGCCTCGATGATGATACTTTGCAGGGAGTTATTTGGCTTGTACCTTTGTATTTCCGTCTCCTGACCCAAATCTTGCCATAACAGCCCCCAAACTTGCTGCTTGTCAGGTCTTGTTTTAGCTACAACCCTCCTCCCTTCCCCTGCTTGGCGGCATGAATTTTAATGTGACATCCCAGCA